AAACACAACAAAACTCTACTTCTCTCACTAATTCAAAGTCTGCTGCATGTTTAGATAGTTTTGCAGGGCAATTCTCCTCTATGTAGTAATCCAGACTGACTCATTCTTTGAAGCTAACCATCTCAGGTTAAAATAAGACTTCTGGAAGGATCCCTGCACCAGAGAGTACTATCCAGAACTGCTCTTAGTGACACCTAGAAGTGACACACATCCATCAGCTTGCAATTCACTCGTCAGAACTAGTCCTGTGGCCTCCCCTACTTCAAGAGGATGAATGTGGAGTCTTCTTTTGCCAGAAATGAGAAAATAACCAGATATTGATGAATACAAGCAATGTCTGCCACTCCTTGGCAAGCCACATTGCCACTCCTTGGCAAGCCACTGGGTACTTAGTCATGAACAAAACAGACATCATTTATCTTTCTCTCATGGAGCTCTCAGTCCAGAGAGGATGCTGCTAGGAAAGCTATGGCATCTGTATAGAGCCAGGTTTCTGCCCAGGCAAGGCAAGAAACCAAACCAAAGAGCCTGCGTTCAATACGTATGAAGTTGTGTGGGAAATAGGAAAGGGCAACAGTTGAATGTAAGTGACGAGTATGGAGAACTTAGAAATCCTCAATAAATATTTACTGAATGAATGTTAAGTGAGGAATAGGAAGACATTTAGCTCTAAAAAACTAAATGGGAAAGGCAACAGAGAGAGAACAGATATAGAAGAAAAAAAAACACATGGAAACAGTTTATGCTTTTCAAATGTTCTGAATAATATTTGGGAATAAAAGCTGTTCTTGCTATATCTGCTGCTTCCAGTAAGCCTGAAATATTTCCATGCTGGGCTCTTCTGCCATAGTTGGGCTGTGGAGGGATGAGTTCCCAGCCAGACTGTTTCATTCTTACCTAGTCAAGAAGTAGGAATTGTTGGGAAGCCTGGATTCTGACTCATCTCCTATAATGTTTTATGATGAATCAGGCTTAGTGGGTGGGCAGCTGTCGAATGTGGAGGGGTCAGAGGAAACAAGGAATTATACTACTGTAAATGCTGAAAATGTTACAGAGTTAAGCAAAAATCCTGTGAATACCATTTTATGGCAGAATGTTAGAAAGAGATGGTTCCAGGCCATCCGGTGTGGCTCAGTGGTTGAGCATTGACCCATACACCACAAGGTCGCTGGTTCGAGTCCCAGTCAGGGCACATGCCCAGGTTGTGGGCCTGATCCCCAGTGGGGAGGGCATGCAGGAGGCGGCCAATCGATGTTCTCTCTCATCAGTGTTTCTATCTCTCTCTCCTTCTGCCTTTTTCTCTCTCTAAAATCAATAAAGTGGTTCCTTAAAACATTACAATGATTTATATTTTTGATGTTTGTTAAAAATGATAGAAAACATGTGGAAAAAAAAGAATTATTTATAATATAACCCCTAGAGATAAACCTTGTTAATATTTTGGTATAGTTCATCCCAAACTTTTTTCTAGTCATACACATTCATTTGTCTTACAAAACAGAGCATACAATAAATACTTCTCACCCTGCCCAGTTTGGCTCAGCAACTGAAGCGTAGGCCTGTGGACCAGAGAGTCCCGCTAGGGGCATGTACCAAATAAATAAATAAATAAATAAATAAATAAATACTTCTCTGTCCCTTCCCTTTTTTTAAAAGAGTATTTCCTTATTATGTTTCCATGTCAAGAAATATCATTTTACAACATTATTTTTAATGGCTATATGGTTTTGCATTATATGTATGCATCTAAATATATTTCTTTATCATCTGATTAGGTTGTTTACAGGTGGTCACCATTATAAATAATGCTGTTAATGAAAGTGCTCTGGCTGCATTTCTGTGCACCTCTTTAATTATTTCATAGGGTAACTTTTCTAAATTGGAATTATTGGGGCAAAAATTATATACATTTTAAGGCTTAATTATGTACATTACCACTAGTATTTCAATTTACATTCCTACCAGCAGTGGATGAGAGCAGAAGAATGTTTAGGGAGCCCGTAAGTGTACAAAGTGTTCATAGAGAATTGAATATATTATAAATGTGTGTTTAATCTTGACAGCTATTGGCAGACAGGGTCACTCAATATATTTCTAAGTCTCCCATCTTATATTTAATGCTTTATGCTAAAACCATAAGTATAAGAGCTTCACATTAGACTTCTTAGAAAGGATGTTAAGACAGTTTCACATATTCTGCTAAATGGGTTCATTGACATCATGGGTGCTGGCATAAGATCCGTGATGATCCATTGGGTATCTGGAATGAGTGGACAAAAAATACTGAGCTCTGCCTATATCCATGCCTGGATGTGTGGCTGTGGCTAAACATTTGTGTGCATCTTTAATGGTTGTCTGAATGATGGGCAATTCCCACTTTTCTAGAGAGAAAATTTTAAAAACTTTCAGTTAAATTGACTATGGGACATAGAAGAAATAGTCAGGTGTCTACTTATGTAGTCTACTAATTTAGACATAAACAATTCTTTAACGAATGTGTCATGTAGAATGTTTTTAGGAGTTTTACTCTGACACCCCTCCAGTGGACTCTTGACCTCAGAAAGGGCCACCTTTCCAGGCGGCCGGCATGTGTCCATCGCCTGCCATTTGGAATTCAGACGGAGCGACGTGAGGGGCAGAACTTGGGAAACAGTGTGTGACGCTAGCGCTGGAAACCTTCTCCCGAGCCATAAAAACCCACTTACTACTCGTGGTCTTCAGGAGCCACTGTCGCTTTCCTTGGTGACCTCTAAAATACTTGTTTTTGACAGCATCCCACTCTGAATTGTTAGGTCATGTCTCTCCAAATAATTCCTAACCCAGTACTGCGTTCAAGTCCTTTGCTTCCTTTTTCAACCAATGCTAAAACTCTCACCAGTGGGGGCTATTTCAGGTTCGCACCGCTTACCTGAACAGGTCTGTGTTCAAAAGAAAGTAATTGCGCGAGTGCCTGAGATTATGAGAAACTTTTTAAGGACTTCAGTATAAAAGGATTCTTTTTCTCAGACTTTTTTCCTCAGGGATAATTTTGGAGAAGAACAATTTCACCTTACATGTGTCCATGTATTATAGTTTAAACCAAAAGAGAGGAGATTCATACAAATCTCCTTTGTGTTCTTATGCAAAGTAACTATTGAATATCAAAGCTTTTGCCCACCAACAAAAAATACCTTAAAAATACAGTAGGATTGTAATGTGTTTATCTCGCATAGAAACGCTGAAAATATAGGTTCATAAAGCCTGCTGCTTTGAAAGCATATTGGAATTGCCTAAGAAGTATAGCTTCTATGCCATTAAACCTCCTCCCAACCCCAAACCACATCTACTTTTACTTTAATACAAAACAAACAAACAGAACACCAGCAGGAAATATTTAGAATAGATGTTCTCTTGGGAATCCATAGCCCAAATTTTTGGAACTCAAAATGAAAAATTTAGAGAACTAAGTGGCTAAATTTCCCAATAGTGTTACTCCCTCTTCAAGATATATTGTTATATTGTTTTCTCTAAGTATTTCCAAGAGAATCAGACTAAAAGAACATATTACAGATTAAGTGGTAACTATTTGATTGATATGGTCGGAGGCAGCAAATGGCGTTCTGTTTACATGCTGACTGTTTGGGGTCTTTGTTCGTGCCCACAGCAGTGATGTATGAGAACTGTCCAAAACTCCACTGTGGTACATGTATGTGATCCGCACCATCTTAACAAGAGAAGAGCACTTTGCCATTGCATTCTTTACTATTTGAAGTAAATAAAACAGAGAGATATAGAGCGTAAACTGTTACTGAATTCTAATTCCATAAGAATTTGCAGTTCCATGAAATTAGAAATGCCATTTTAAAATGTTAATCAGAAGATGCATTTATTTCAGTTCTTGATACTGAAAATGTTGACTGAATTGTGAATTAATATATTTAGGGTTGCAGATGTCATTTTTCATGAGATTTCCTGAATGATGTAATTTTCATATTTTATATCACAGTTTGATCAATTTACAGATTTATTTTTACATAATTAGTTAGTAAATGAGAAATTCAATTGCTGATATATAACTATTTCTCTGGAATAGAAAAAATAAGTTAAAATTCTGAATTACAAATAAAAAACAAATATTTTGAAGACATCTGGTCCACATCTGTCTGAAATAAGATAATTTCAAACAGTGTAATTAAATGCAAGAAATACTAGAATATTCACACCTAGAATGTAAGAAATAACTCCATTTTAATGTGATTCCTTGAATTAGTGATTTTTTTTAGTGTCCTTTAGCCTCTCATTCTGTCATTATGAAGAAGACTGACAAGCTAAACAAACAAAAATAATTCATATTTTTCAAAACCTCTGTGAAATGAAAAAATTATCTTTAATTTTACTACTCTTTTATATGTTGACTAACCTTCACTTCTAAGTTAATACTCAGTGGATTTAGACTCAGGCCTAACCCCTTTTGGTGTATTTATAATTCTCCATTCAATTATTTAAAATGAGAAATTAGTGAGAGAGTCTCTAATCTCGCTTTCTAAAACCGTGTGTTCCTTGTGGGCTCAGCAAACGTGAGAAGGAGGTATTCATACTCGTGGAAATGAAAAGCATCTTTGGTACATTCTCGTGATCAGTAGAGAACCATCCTTTGAAGACTGGTCTTTTCTTTTGTTAAGAACCTGTGTCGAGTGGAAAATTAACCATTTTAGGGGCAAGGAAACTACACTAGCCTTTCTGTAGGCTAAAAAATGTGGAAAACATGATAGAGTTTTTCTTTAATGAAAGGCTGCAGACCCTTAAGACTGGGTGTTGATACATGACAGAGAAATAATACTTAGGGAAAAACTCCATGCTGATGCTACAATGTAAGGTGATGGGGCATCTCTGCTTGGACGCCAGAGGCTCTCCTGAGTAACGATGGACCACGGAAGGAACTGATACTGTGAGAAGTGAAAACACCTCTCCTGACACATACCCTCAGGTATCACAAGTTATATTTTGTGTGTTTTTTCCAGGGAGCATGATAAAGATCCGGAGAGTTTTTTCAAGGTATTAATGCATCTTAAGGACTTGGGACTCGATTTCCACGTATCTGTCCTTGGAGAAACCTTCACAGATGTCCCAGGTATCTAGTTCGAATTGTCTCATGTATTTTTATAGATGACATAAGCTCTACAACTGAAGTATTAATTTCCATGTTTCCCTTTGTTAAAATAATCAAGATGAGCACTGTTAACCAAAAGAGTATACAATAACATTAAAGTGGGATTCAATTAAAAAAATACTTAAGTAAGCAGTCTTTGATTTAAGTTGAGAACGTGAAGTCATCTCTTTTATCAAAAATAGTTTATACAATGCATCTAGATGTAAATACAAAATACTGCTTTAGGCATCATAACACTTAAGGAAAGAGGAAATTCGTAATTGGATATACAACCTCTCACCTCTGGGGTCACTGGCTTGAATCCTGCTCACAGTGGTAATGGCTGACACACATTACCATCTGTTAGGTGGCCTGTGTAAAGCATTTTGGCATCAAACTTGTAATATAGAGGAGACCACAGCTCATATTATTGTTGTCATTGGTCCATATATATTTATTGAACTTGAGAAAACTAGCAAAAATTCTAAGCACATAAGTGTTCGTATTTATAAGTTTTGGATGTTTGGCCTTTTTTTTTAACTCCAAATATACAGACAACAAGATCACAAATAACCTTTACCGTCGTGCATTGTGACTATTAAAGACCACGTAAAGTTACCTTCACTTAGCAAGTGCGTCTTGATTCTGGTTCAGCGGTAGGAACTGCACTCAGCCAGTACCTCCCTAGCCTCATCTGATAGGGCTCATCTTCTGCTTTCTGGGCTTATGGACACCAGCCTTTCTTGAGGTAGACCTTTGGACTTTTGCCTGTTTGTTTCTATTTTATCCTTTTGATCTTAGCTCAGAGGTATTTTTTTTAACATGAAGCTTTATCATGGTCTCATGGCACCTTATACTTTTGCTCCATGGTGCTTACCTTAGTTTGTAATCTTATAATTGTGTGTAATTTTTTACTTCATCACACACACACACACACACACACACACACACGCGCGCGCGCGTGCGCACATACACACACACACACACACGTGCACGCATACACACACTAGAATGTAGGTGCTTCAAGGACCGGATCACCGGGATTCATCTCTCTTGTTCTTTGCTATATCCCAAAGCCAAGTGCAGTGTCTGGCACGGTTCTGGAACTTAGTGAATATTTGTTGGGTAAATGGGTAAAAAATAATATGAACACCCTGCCCTCAAGCAATTTATAGTTTTGTTGGAGAAGGAACACTTGTGCATAGCACAGGAAACAGAGAATAAAATGTAAAACAATATAATTATATGTTAGTACTGACATATGAGATTTAGAGTGGAATGTTCATTGAGTAGCCAAAGGATTAGAATATTCTAGAAGTGGAAACAACATGAACAAAGCATATAGAAGCAAACGTTTTAGATATTGCATTTAAAGGAGAGAACAATCCCCGTGATTAGTGCCGTGAGGTCACTCATCTAAGGAGGAGACTCAACAGGCAGGCCTGGTGAGTAAGATGTACCTTCCTTAGGTAGGGCAGGGCCCGGGTAGGGAGGATCTGGATGCACACACTAGATTAGGCAAAGGGAGCAATGTGGAGCCTAGATCTTGAACAGGGAAGAAACACGATGGCACTTGTGTCTTAGGGAAGCGAATCTAGCAGTGCCACGCCGGCAGAACCATATAAGCCTCGATGGTGGTCGTCCACGTGTGACTGAGATATGGCTAAGACAGAGACGCTCAAGGAAAACACGAAAAGTAATTTGGTTGATGGATGGCTATAAAGCAGGAAGGAAGGCCCGTCCAGTGTGGCTCAGTGGTTGAGCATCGACCCATGCACCAAGAGGTCGCCGGTTCGATTTGGTCAGGACGCATGCCCAGGTTGTGGGCCTGATCCCCAGTGGGGGGCCTGGAGGAGGCAGCCAGTGAGTGTTCTCTCTCATTGATGTTTCCCTCTCTTTCTCCCTTCCTCTCTAAAATCAATAAAGAAAAAAGATTTTTAAAAAAAAAGAAGGAAGAAAAAATCAGCTCATTTGCAGAACTGCCAAGTTCAGTTTTATTTGTGCCAGTTGTGAGGTGTGCGCATGGACTGAGAAGGTGGCTGGAGCTGTCCCGCGGTACAAGGCCGCTGAGCCAGTTGTACGGCCGCCACCACAGACAAGGGGGGTTGACTCCAAGGCCGTGTTCTCGCGCCACAGCCTCCCCTCCCACACTTCACAGCGAGCTGCTTAGAGCAGCGTGAGGGGTTGAAAGTGAGGCAGGGAACCGTCCAAGCCCAAGCACTGGCGCGTAGTAATGACAGGCCCATCTTATGCTCACTTTGGCTTCACTTCAACACATACTTACTGAGCACCCCGGAAGGGAGATTCCATGGCGAGCAGGACCCGGTCTCTACCCTCAGGAACCTCTGCCTCGGGGAGACACCTCTATAGCTAGCAGGTCCCTAGGCTGCTGTGAAGTAATGACGAAGTGAACGCCGGGCCGCCCATGGAGAGGGCCATTGTGTTGTCCATGCACATGCTTCTGTTAACACCTGTCTCACTGGGGCTTCCTTCTGCCTTATGGTCCGTCTCTGTCATCTCACATATACAAGGACTCTCTCTATGGCTCCAGCACCTTGCTCCATAGGAGCAGCCCGAGGAGCCTCACGCCTGTCCAGGCTGTGCTTGCAGAGGGCTTCGCTCCCAGCGTTTATGGGCCATGCTGTGTAACTTCATCCTTGTCACCATCCTGGTTTATCCAGTACACCCTATTCCAGGCATGGTTCTAAGCCTTGTTCTCCATTTTTCTCAGGTGGAGACATTGAGGCACAGAGAAATTAAACAGGGTCACACAGCTGGGTAGTATGTTAACCACTGTGACCCGGCAATTTCTCTAAGTGTAAACATTTAATTTGTTTCCCCAAGTCACCACCCACCACTCCACAAAAAGGTCGCCTAGCAGGCGCACATTCTTTGCCTGCTCTCTCTTCTAGGAGCTACATTAGCTGATCTAAAACCCAGATCATAAAACCAATTTACTGTCAGCCAGAAGAATCATTCTCAATGCTGTTAACATTTGTAAGGAAGTGGTTTTCTTGTAAATACTTGCAATAATGATTATTATGCTATTAATTGCTACTATTTATTGAGAGTAAGTCACATTAATTGCATTGCCTGTGAGTCAAATGTTTCTCCTTCACATACAAGCATACATGTATGGAAAAGACAAGAAACATATGGCTGAAAGACCATTAATTACTTTTTTTTTTTTTTATTGAGATATGATTTACATATGACAGTGTGTGAGTTTAAGGTGTACAACTTGTTCATTTGATACATTCCTGTGTCACAGTGTGACTGATTACCACCATAGCTTCAGCTTGGACATCTATCACATCATCTCGTTTTTGTGGGGAGAACATTAAAGATCTAGTCTCTTAGAGATTTTTGCAGTATATAATACAGTACTGTTGACTATGATCACTGTTAGATCTGCGGAATTCATTCTTCTAGCTGAAAGTTTGCACGTTGATGACTCTTTATCCAACTTCATTCTTCTCCCCGCCCCACAGAGCTCCCAGGGAGAGCGGCCCCTCGGAGTGATGTCCTCGGTGCCAGGGAGTCCCACTGCTCTTTTTGAGGAAGCGAACAATCCCCATTGATTTTTTTCTGAACATGTTAGAACTGTAATAGAGCAGCTTTGTAGAGTCTCCACGCTGTTGATTATTTTTAAGTACGTTTTAAGGATTTTTAAATTATGTTGTGAGGTCTTTATCCTCCTGTTTCTGAAAAGTGAGGTCGATTCAGAATATTGATTCTAGGTTTTAGCTACATCGTTTCTAGCTCCTTGGTGTCATTCTCTCACTTGACAGAGAGGAGAGAGACCTAGGACCGTGACGGTTCAGTTCTCACAGCTGGGCAGGAGGGAGCGGTCGGGGGGCAGGAGGGAGCGGTCGGGGGGCAGGAGGGAGCGGTCCGGGGGGGCAGGAGGGAGCGGTCCGGGGGGGCAGGAGGGAGCAGTCGGTCGGGGGGCAGGAGGGAGCGGTCCGGGGGGCAGGAGGGAGCGGTCCGGGGGGCGGAGGGAGCGGTCCGGGGGCAGGAGGGAGCGGTCCGGGGGGCAGGAGGGAGCGGTCGGGGGGGCAGGAGGGAGCGGTCCGGGGGGCAGGAGGGAGCGGTCCGGGGGGGCAGGAGGGAGCGGTCCGGGGGGGCAGGAGGGAGCGGTCCGGGGGGCGGAGGGAGCGGTCCGGGGGGCAGGAGGGAGCGGTCCGGGGGGGCAGGAGGGAGCGGTCCGGGGGGGCAGGAGGGGAGCGGTCCGGGGGGCAGGAGGGAGCGGTCCGGGGGGCGAGGGAGCGGTCCGGGGGGCAGGAGGGAGCGGTCCGGGGGGCAGGAGGGAGCGGTCCGGGGGGCAGGAGGGAGCGGTCCGGGGGGCAGGAGGGAGCGGTCCGGGGGGCGGAGGGAGCGGTCCGGGGGGCGGAGGGAGCGGTCGGGGGGCAGGAGGGAGCGGTCCGGGGGGCGGAGGGAGCGGTCCGGGGGGCGGAGGGAGCGGTCCGGGGGGCGGAGGGAGCGGTCCGGGGGCAGGAGGGAGCGGTCCGGGGGGCAGGAGGGAGCGGTCCGGGGGGCAGGAGCACCCGGAGTCGGTCTCACGCCGGCTCATTCCTGTGCGTTCAGCACACGTGGTCTTAAAGATCTGCTTCGCACCAAGCACTGAGCGAGACGTTTCGGATGAAAAGGTGGAGAAAGCCGATGTGTTCTGTCATGTCGGCCACACGTGGTCCCGCTCCAGTTCTTCATTCCTCACTTACTGGAGTGTTGATTTTAGACGTTAGAACCGGCATCGCTCGAACTCTTAACGTGCCGGGCGCTGCTGGGAGCCCTGTGTGCTGCTCTCTCCTCACCGGAGCCCGCGAGGGCACCACTGCGGTGACCACTTGATCGCCGAGGGAAGCAAGGAGCAGGGAGGGTGATTCACTTGCTGGCACCTCTCAGTCCGCCCCAGTGCCATCGCCCAGCCGGTGTGGACGTCTGCCAAGTCACCCATGGTTTACAAGGAAGAAAGCAGGAGG